CCCCCCCTTGCAGCACAGCATGGCAGAGCTGGTTCTTGTTTGGGATGCTCAGAGTAGCAGATGCACTCTGTGAATTGCTCATACACAGGAGGCAGGAAAGGGAAGTGTTTTGCCAACACGGATGCTCAAAGGATAGACCAAGAAGCAGTTGTACCTCCCCTATCGAGGCACGGCCACAGGGATCACAAGATAAAGTAAATCAAAAAGCACTCAAAGAAATGGGAAAACTGAGACGCCACAGCCTCCAGCAGGTGCCAGGGAAGGAGGCAGCATGTTCTCACCTGCATGGAAAGAATTTTTTGCATTCTTCTTTGACTAGTCTTGATTTTAACCTTCCTTCATCCCATGTAACTACAGTTGTCCAAACTTGCCTGAAAAAAAGGGCAGAGTCACCCTAAGTGCCCTCTCAGATTTACTCTGTCATTAAGGGCTGCAGAATAACAGAAGGTTTGCACACTATATACACCCTGCAAAACTGTGGTGGGTTCTAGATCATTCCTGGCTACTGCACTTCTGTTCTTTGCTATTTTTATGCAATTTTTAATGGAATAAGAAAAAAAACCACCCAGTTTCTTTATGTTGCTGTGTAGAAAACATGAAACTTAGGGGCTGAAATGGACCTTATAAATCATTTTGTCCCAGTCCTCCCTGCCCTGGGCAGAGACACCTCCCCACTAGACCAGGTTTCTCAAGGCTCATCCAACCTGGCTTTGAACACTGCCAGGGTTGGGGCAGCCACTACCTCCCTGGGCAACCTGTTCCAGTGTCTCACCACTTTCACAGGAAATTTTTTTTTCAAATATCTAACCTAAATGTCCTCTCTTTCAATTTGCACCCATTGCCCCTTGTCCTATCACTGCAGCTCCTAACAAAGAGCTCCTCTCCAACTTCCCTGTAGCCCCTTCAGATACTGGAAGGTTGCTACGATATCTCCATGTAACCTTCTCTTCTCCAGGCTGAACAGCCCCAACTTCCTCAGCCTGTCCTCAGCTCCAGTCCTCTTATCAACTTCATGGCCTCCTCTGGACTTGCTCCAACAGTTCCATGTCCTTCTTACATTGAGGGCACCAGAACTGCACACAGTATTCCAGGTGGGGTCTCACATGAGCAGAGTAGAGGGGGAGAATCACCTCCTCTGACCTGCTGCCACACTTCTTAGAATTTTAGTGTTAGAATCTTCTTACACTAAGTAGAACTAACCTTAGGATCAGTTTGTTGCAATAGGCTGTACTCCAAACTAACCCTGAAGATCACTCAGAATCTGCTGTCAGTTCTAAACATAGTTACCAGCCTGCTGGGCAAGATGGACACTTATTGGCCACAAGGAGACTCTTACACCAACATTCTGGAGGCGGCAATGACTTCTTATTTGCTTCCAGGTGCAGTTTGGATGGCTGATGTTGAATTATAAAGCCCCATTTGATTTAGGCACTGCCCAAGTGTGGTCTGGTGGTGCAGATCAGCACAGTGCCCTTGCAAACAGCCTTCACAGCCAAGTAACTTGCATCCTTCTGGTGGAGGCTTCCTATGACTGGATTTAGCATCCTGCACAGCCATGCTGTAACCCCAGTCTGTAGGAAGCCAGTGCACCAGATAGGGCCCATGCATTTAATGCAGCCTTTATTTGGGTTTGATTCTGAGGTACAGCAAGGAGAGAGTGCCTTTATTGGAGCTGTTTAAATTTGGTTAGGTAGCACCCTAATGTTTGCCAGGATCAGATCAGCAACTTTGTACCTAACATTTCATTTGACTAAAACAGAAATCTGAACAGCTTGGAGATAAAATTTGAATCAGACAGCTCAAATTATTTGGTTTTCAAATAAAACAAACAAACAACAGAAAAACCAAAACACTTTACTGCAAAATGGGTATGAGGGGGAAAAAAATTTTGTTAGTTGTTCAAAGTTTTAGCCTGGTCATACAAAACACAAATACAGATAGGACACCGTTCAAAGTCTTCCAGCACATTCAAGGAAAACCTAATCTGCTGAAATCCTCAATGACAGCTTCCTAGACATAGAGGATGAAGTGCTGATCTTGAACTTTGTCAAGCTGGTAGCTGTTTCTGATATCAAGAATCATATTTGCCTCCCTGGAAATCCTGTTCCTCTTGGCTTCCTGAATCTGTTTTTGCCTTTTCTACCTCTGCAATTGCTACATCAGTGCACATGGCAGAGTATCCTTCCTGTTTCTCCTTTCAGGCTCCTGTGACCATCCCCCATGCTCTGCTCTTTCTCTTCCCTGTCTTATCTGTATAGAATCTTATCAGCAAAAATAATTCAACTAATAATTCATCGTGACTGTTTCTTGGATCTGCTTATCCTCTTCAGACCATTGCACTCTTGTCCAAATGAATACCCAACCTGTCACTCTGACACCTTTTTACTTGTGCTGACCCTTCTGTCCAAGATCAATACAGCAAGAATTAAAGTCTTAATAATTTCTCCCTGAGTGCTCACTTCATATTACTTGCTCAATAAGGGTGGATCACACCATCTTTCCTGTCCTTCAGGTTCATGATTTAGGCATCATTCCCACGTGTGGGCACTCTCTTTTGAGCTATATTTAAGTCTTGCAGATTTTCCTCCTGTACAATATCTAAAAGCTTTCCTCATGCATTTACAAAGTCTGGACCTGCCCCGATTCTTAGCATCTCAGTCACTACAATGCATCACTACCCAGTTTGCTCTCTGGCCTGTAATGTAACCACGTATGTCTGCTCAAAATAAGCTGCAAAGATCCCTTTTCCTGCCCAGTATTTTAACCTTGAAGCTTTCTCTTGGCCTCTTTCTGCCTCTCCCTCCCATCCCCTTATTAATTAATGATGTGAGTCTAATCATTTGCCTGCTCAACTCAGAGAAGCACCTTTGTGCTGTTTCCAAATTCGTCCCCTGTGCTTACAAGCAACTCTGAGAAAACATCCCCAGAGTTACTCGTCTGGCTTTGTATCACTCTGAAGTTTTCTGCTTTGATGTAGTGCCCACAAAACGGTGTCAAAGTGCAGTGCCAAGACCACTGCCTCCCATGCTGGCTCTCCTGGCTCCTTTGTACTCCCTTTTCTTCTTGCATTCACCAGTTGTTTCTTGCCAGGCTCTTTGGGGTGATCATGACTAGGGCACCTACACCCTAAGATAAAACAAAACAATTACTACCCATGCTTCTTGCAAATCCCACAAAGGTTGTGGTTCTCCTCCCTCTCTGGTCCTCTCCAGCTTTGCTTTCTAAAACAAAGATGAGATAAATGTGTTCATCTGCTCAGAAGTCATAGTAATTTAGTGCTCATTACAGATTATGGGGTAAAGTCTGAGGAGGCAGAGATTATGCATTCATATCCCTTATGCAAGTAAAACAATAATATTCATTATAAATTAATGAATTAAAAACCTAAAGTTGGAAAATACTTATGAATAGCCTTCTCTGCATGTTACCCTTAGTGATGCATTTGAACACAGGATCATATGTTGTAGGTGGACAGGCAAAGAACAGAAGGCAGTTGACTTGGCCAAGATTCCCTTGTGTCTACTTAACTACTGTTGCAGTAATTTGTTTTTCTACTTCACAGTTCCATCTCCTCCTGCTTATTTGATGTCATAAAAATCCAGCAACTGTGGCAATTTGCACAATGCATGCTATAGCCTTGTGTTCACATACCACAAATTCAGCATTCTGGATTCATTCGTGACTCAGATTGGAGGCGAAAATAGCTTGGGATGGCACGAGCCCTTGATTAAAGCTTTAGGGCCAAGGCAACAACAGCTGAGGATCCAGCCCATATGGCCTGAGATCTTTAGCTGTGTAAAGGCTGCAGGAATGGGCCCAAATAGCTTTGGTAATTAGCAAATATCGTATAAAATATATGAAAAGCCTTTGGCAGGGAATGTGTATTGAGTAACATTTGAAAATTATTCATAGCATGTTAGTATACTTCTTTAAAGATAAAACTGAATGGCATAACAATAATCTGGGAGGGACAACTGTAGCCTATCACACAACCGACAACAGGCAAACACTTTCCTGGACTGATTGTCATTTTACAGTTACCTTGAGACAATGCTACAAAGGGCAGAGGTGACCATCTAACACTTGGGACCTGATCCTACAAGTTGTTCTGCCTCTGCAGAAGCACTCGTATACCTGGTGAGAACTCTAGCCAAAGTGCCTCCCTGTGTGCAGAGTGACCATTCTTTGGTAGGTGTTGCATGACACCCTGTATTCCTCGGTCACTCAAGAGAACTAGAACAATACCCAGAGACATCCATGGAAGCAAGGCCGAGCTGGTTGCTATCTAGATTCAGCAATTATCACACCATGTAGAGCAGTAAACAATAACACATCAATTAATCACCCTGGTGTAGCTGTGAGAGCTACTTTCACAGATTACGGTGCGCAGCATGCAGAGTGGAATAAATCATTTTTCATGCAAACTCTGAGGAATGGCATGTTATAAAATCACTCCTGATAAAAATCTAATGAAAATGTAAAACATCTCAGTGCAGTCTCCTGGGTAGAGTCAAGATCATCTTAAACCCTCGAGAGACAAAGGTCAGGGATTTCAATGGGAATCAAGAGACAGTTTTCCCAGGATGAGCTTGTTAACCTGACACAAAGACATGATGTTGATTTGATGGCTTTGTCTCTTTCGCTGTTCCTTCATGGAGCCTATTTTTAATTTAACAATCTTCCATTAATTCATTTAAAGGCTTTATTCGGCAGAACAAAATCTTTTTCCCCCTAAAAGCAGATGTTGTTGAAGTGCTGAGAGTATAATCAATCCAGCGTGCAGAGTGTCACAAGCAGCACAAGTTTGCTGTCACTGCATTTGCAGAAGTTTTTCCAAGAATACTAAAGTGACTAAAGCCACTCTCTCACTCCATTTTAAAGTTCCCTGTGACTGGATTTTAAACATTTTGAAATCAGCCCTCTTACTAAGACATCATGATCTAGCAATCTCAGGACATGTCAATGACAGTAACCATTTTTACATGTTTTTTAGGATTTACCTGCTGGTGGCTTTATGAAAGGTGGTGGAATTAATGGGACAATAATAGGTACATTCCCATGATCCTTCGACCCTGCTGGTGAGTCTGATAGTCCATTTCCTGTGGCAAGCCCTGGGTAGCTTGGGTTTATATTGTATGGTGAAATAACACTGTCCTCAGGTAATTTTGGTTTTGGCAAAGAATTTTCTGCAAAACACAAAGAACACATTGTACAGTATGACACACGTATTTATTAAATGCCCTTACATACTTTCTTTAATTACAATACTTACAATCTTACATTAAATTACTGACAAGAAGAGTGCATAAAAAAAAACAGACATTCTTCCTTCTAAAGTTTCCCTGTTGGGTTGTTCAGGCACTGGAATATTGCCCAGGGATGTGGTGGAGTCACTGTCCCTGGAAGTGTTTAAGAGGCATCTGGATCTGGTGCTGGAGGATATGGTTTAGGGGTTAGGGATTGCAGCAGAGTGGCAGGTTAATGGTTGGGCTTGGTGATCTTAGAGGTCTCCTCCAACCTTGACGAGTCTATGAATTGATTCTAGTATTCTTCAGAAATGCTTCCTTTTCAAAAGCATGTTCAAATGGTCCTGCACTTTGGCCAAAACAATC